CACTACATTAAAACCGTAGAGCGTAAATGTTTTAATTTAGTTCCCCCAATAAAGTGCGTTTTCCAAAAATTAAATTTGTATTCTCACCTTTATAAAAATTGAAGTCTCTTACTATTTTAATCAACATCTTGTTGATTCATAAAAATATTTATAATGTATATTAATTAGATAATTATAATTTAAAATAATTATAATATAATAAAATATAATTAGAATATAAAAAAATGGACTGCGCTAATCAAATTTGTAATCCATCGGTTCAACCACAAATCAATCGGTTCAATTCAATCCTCTCTTTTTATTTAAAAAAGCAAAATCAGTCAAATTTTGACTGATTTTAATATAAATTCACCAGTTTTTTGAGTTGACATGTTGGATTTAATATCTATTGTCGAGACCAATCAGGATATCTAATTGGCAATGGGCTGAGTAATTTTTTTAGGAAGTCAGATTTTCATATATTCTAGAAAAAAAATAAAAAACATGAAAAACTTATCTTATCCTAATGATTGCCAAACATAAAATAAGAAGCTTTTTATTAAATATGCTATCCTACCCCATACCGTACGCTTGAACAAACGTTACCTTTACAATGCTCTAAAACGATCAAATAAAATAAATTATGCATTAAAATTTATAAATAAATAAAATATTATATGTTAAATTATCGATAAAATTGAATTCTCGTCTTTGTTCTTCCAATTTAATTAAAATAATCAAAAGATTGTCTTGTAGATATTTCTAAATGATAAAATGATCAGATCAGGACAAAATAAACCATTTTTGGTTAAACCAATTATGCTTAATTTTTCTAAATATACCTTTATATTAATAGTAAATGATCCATATAAGAATATAAAAATTAAGATAATTAAAATTATGAAATTGGTTTAATATAGGAGGCAACAATAACTTACTACAAAAAATATATTTTTTCCAAAAATGAAAATAAAACTATCACTCGCCACAAATAAAAAGAATACTACACTTTAAATTTTTAAATTCAATTTCTCAATGTTATACATAGAGTATAGAGCATTGAAAGTAGTACATTTTAAGTTAAAAAAATAATATCCAAATTAATATCAATGATGGTTGGATTAGCAATAATAAATTACTTTCAGAGGCGAACAAAATCATATTTAATATTAAATAATTAATTTATTGCTTTGATTTTATTTTATTTTTTTAACAATTATACTCCAGCTCAAATTCATTAGTAAAAGCGATAAACTAAAATTATATTAGTTAAATTTCGTATATTATTTTTTATTGAAAATAATAGTATGCAGCATATAATTATAATTTTTATTATGTTCAAGTTAATTAAATATATAAATAAAGTTTATCTCCTTTCCTTTCAATTATTTATATATAAATTATAAATTTGAAAAAAAAAACTTTTGGTTCGAATTACTGTAACGGACACTTTAATTTCCAAGAGCATGCAAAGAGAGTGACCAACAGAGGAAAAGCTGGAATCCAAAAAAGGAGCAGAAATGGACATGGAAAATGGAGCAGAAAGAAGCAAAATGGGTAGACCCGAGAGAGCAAGAATTAGTCTGCAAAGGGGAAAAACAACAGCCCAATCATAAGCACTCACTGACAAGATATTAGTTGATATTGGGAAGTAGCTGTGTACTACTACTACTACTGCTTCTAGATACTATCGTCAAAATCAATCATTGCCTTGGAAATTGTTCTCTTTACTAGATACTGCCATTGCCAGACCACATCCTCTATCACTATTCCTTCTTTCTCCTTCTTCTCTCCGTCACTGTATAATTCTTCTCTCCGTTACTAGATATAAGCTTTTCACTGAACCCGCATGTTATCGTCGGTTTTATCCCGCACCATTTTTTTAAATAATTCTTTTTTTTAGATATTATTTTTTATAGTATTCGATAATATAATATTTAATTTATATAATATTTAATTTTTAATATTTTGTAAAAAGTTATTAAAATAGCTGACAGTTAAATACTACTAAAATAATAAATAATTATCAAAACAACTAATTTCTAAACATATTTGTGTATATGATGTCCTTATCTCAAAGGTAAATGTACAAGAGTTTGGATATGAATAATAAAATTATTTGTCGAATAAATAGTAATGTGAGACGTGCGAGAGCACCGTCCTTAAAAGATTATTTCGGAATCAGATGAAAGAGATAAAAAACAATGCAAAATCCTTTTCTAGGATCACTATTCTTAAAGAATTATTTCGCAATCAGATGAAAGAGATAAAAAACAATGCGAAACCCTTATTAGGATTTAACAGGTTCTTCTGAATCGATATCAGGTAAATAACAACAGGCAATTTTAATAATAATACCCAGCAAAGAATATTGGAAAATATTTACTCTCCAACATTCACAACAAAATCGAAAGTCAAGCCAGTGTTGCACAAATTAAGTAAATGTGATACTAGGAAAATATTTGGTCAAAAGCTAAAATCAAAGGTAACCCGATCAAAAATATTTAGAAAATACAAGTAATAAAACACAGCTTGAATCGAGCCTTACGAACATATTCACGTGCAAGGGGGGCAAATCCATTGGCTAGCACTAGGATTGGACTTTTGGGCCCAATCCTTACTGCACCTTTTACTAGCCCAATAGCAAACACTTATTAATAAACTACTTTAAAAGCTCGCGATGTGAAATCTTTTGAAATATACTCCACTTTACAACATTATTTACCTTAATCGATACGGGTATGTTATGAATATAGGTATCTAGATATTGGCTATTTGTTATCCGGTATTTGTTATTATTAAACTGTTCAATTTCAGATACATACGTTCTGAATCGATATCAGGTAAATAACAACAGGCAATTTTAATAATAATACCCAGCAAAGAATATTGGAAAATATTTACTCTCCAACATTCACAACAAAATCGAAAGTCAAGCCAGTGTTGCACAAATTAAGTAAATGTGATACTAGGAAAATATTTGGTCAAAAGCTAAAATCAAAGGTAACCCGATCAAAAATATTTAGAAAATACAAGTAATAAAACACAGCTTGAATCGAGCCTTACGAACATATTCACGTGCAAGGGGGGCAAATCCATTGGCTAGCACTAGGATTGGACTTTTGGGCCCAATCCTTACTGCACCTTTTACTAGCCCAATAGCAAACACTTATTAATAAACTACTTTAAAAGCTCGCGATGTGAAATCTTTTGAAATATACTCCACTTTACAACATTATTTACCTTAATCGATACGGGTATGTTATGAATATAGGTATCTAGATATTGGCTATTTGTTATCCGGTATTTGTTATTATTAAACTGTTCAATTTCAGATACATACGCTATCCTGTAAAAAGTAAAAAGTATCTTAAACAAGTTTGGATTTAACTAGATAATGTATAATTTATTGATATTTTACCCATTTTAAAGGGTACTTTAAATGGTAGGTTTCAAAAATGATATGATTAGTAAAATCTTAAATAGATTTGAATATACGTATTTAAATAAATATTTACACAGATTTAAAATGAATACGGACAATAAAAATTTTAAATATATTCAAATGCAGGTAGTTCAAAACTTATAGTTACTGCCTCACTTCCATCTCTACTCACATGTTTTTCTTAATAAGAAAGTTGTATTCCACCCTTTATGAACTGCCCTCAATGAGCTTGCATTTATAATTTGCTTAAATGTGCAATAACATATCAATGAATCATATTATCTCCTAGGGAAAAAATTATATATTTTTGTGCTCAATCCAAACAGAAATTTTATTTGGTTTAATTTGACTGCTTCTTTTTTATTTTTGGCTTAAAATATATTTTTAAATTTATAAATCATTTCAAAAATAAAATAGTTAAGTATTCAACAAAACACATAATAATTAATTTTAAAATAGTTTAAATTTTTGGTTATTAAGTATTTAAAATAACTAATTATTAAAGAAAATATATTAAGGTTTATTAAAAGTGAGTGTAATTTTGACATTTCTAAAAATTATTAAGATATATTAATTTAGTTAAAGAATAGTTTTAAAATAAATAATTACAAATAAGAGATACTTTAACCTATTTTATTTTAAGTAAAGTAATATATAAGCTAATCCAAACAATATTCCACTTGTAGCTTTTCACCTAAAAAAAATAATTTTGACTGATTTCTAAAAGTGAAATCAAATTATCACCCTTTAATATTTGAATATATCAAATTTTCCATGTCAAATTCTTTGTATGGCAATGTTTCAATGGTCTCAGATTTTATTTGTGTTGACATGTTTGAATTTCTGGCATACTTGGATCTTGTGTGTCAAATCCCTTATATACCAATAAGGTTTTAATTAATGGCTAAAAATTGAGACTTCAAAATTTAAATATCCTAGATTTTTCTTTACATTAAATTTTAATCCATTTCATTAAATTTGACATTTTTAATTCCATTTATACGAAATTTTTAATAAATCGAAGTAACATTAATTATTTTATTTTAATTTAATATTGTTTAGATATTTGCATTAAAATTTGTGTTAATTAAATGAATATTAATTAAAAGATAATTTAGTCAATTATCTTTATTTTTTCTAATTAATTCTTATAAAAAGTCAAATGCATATTTTTCTCTTAAAAAAAGAAAAAAAAAATTACTTAGGTCTTGCTCATTATTCGAATTCTCTCAACTTTATATAACATTCAAGTAATTATAATGAGAATAAATTTTTTCAGTAGATTATTCTATTTAAACAAAACATACAATTACATTCAGACCCCAACTGTCTATAAATAATTTACATATATACTAACTTTTCCTAAAGCCTGAATTTTTTTTGGGAGAGAAAAGATTACAGGTAAATAGTACCATATAATTTTCTAAAAACCAGAAAAAAATTTCCTAAACCCAGAGAAACCCTGAATGATTTTACCAAAAGATTACAGTTTGCAGATTATATAATCTTGATATTTTTTTTTCCTAAAATGACTAAGAAAATACACATATATTAATAATAAATGATGACTAACACATAAAAAAAATAAAAATTCATGTTAAATTAATTTCAAATAATTAAGAAAAATCAGTAGACTATGAAAACCTACTCTTTCCGATACACTGGTACTACAGCCTCCCATTAAGAACATAATAAAACATATAAATATAAAACTAATTTTTAATTGAATCTATCAAAACTAATAATTAAACATCTACACCAAATTACATCTGATCATTATCCTCCACTTGCAAACAAAACCCCACTCTCTGTTCTTCTTTTCTTTCGTTCTTTCTTTCTTTCTGTTTTACATTTCTAACTATGAATAGGCCTCACAGCTGGTAAAGGCACTGTAAATATTCTACTACAAGTAGATCCTCCTGTTGCTACAGTATTATAATTCAAGCACTTAAATGGACCCACATTTCCGCTAATCCCACTTTTATAATAACCAACACAATCATCACTTTCATCCTCTTCTCCTTCCCCTTCTTTTTCTTCTTCACTGCAAGAATTCTCAAGAGGCTCATTTTCATTTCCTTGGATTTCTTCAAATTTCTCATCATCATCACCTTCTTCTTCTTCTTCTTCTTCTTCTTCTTCATCATCAGAATAATCAAGAGGTGGATAAACCTCATCATCCAAAGGAACAAGTTGTAAAGTAAGCCTACCATTGCTTCTATGAGCACGAAAATACTCATGATGCTTAACTCTTTCTTCTTTAAGAATCAATCTTCCATCATTAGTATAATATCTCCTCAAAACCCAAGGCATTCGTGAAGGCAAATTACCTGTTCGAGCTAATGAAGGTATTGGAGGTGGAAATTCTTTCTTCTTTATGTTACAATACCTTTGATTCCTTAAAATCTTTGTTTCTAGTTTCTTTGATGATGAAGAGAAAACATCTTCATTCTTTTCCAGATCAAGACAGCTTTCAACACCAATGTAGTCACCAATAAGAGCAGAAGATTTCTGATCTTGTGAAGAATCAAGGGTTAGGCTCATAAGACATTGTTGTATGTTATTCTGATTCTGTAATATTTTTGTAAATGTTTTTGGGTTTTGGGAATGCATTTTATTTTAAGAGCAAGAAGAAGAGAAAAGAGAGAGAGGGTTTTGGCTGTAGTTTAGGTTAGGTTAGAAACTGGAAGTGCATGAAGAGGAGAATAAAACAGTGTTGTCTGCAATGGGTAGATAGATGTGGGTGTGGTCTGTTTAAATATATGCTAACAGTTTAAATTGGAGAAGACAGTATTACATTATCAAGAAACAAAAATTGCAGGCAGTCATTGAAGAGAGGGAAATATGGGTGGCAGGCAGAGACAGCTAATACCTGTGACATCAAGATTTGTTTCCACATGTGGATTGGAGATATTTTCAATAATATGCTGCCATTATAATTTTACCTGTAACAAAATTAAGTAACATTTACATATATAATTACATGAAATATTCTGATTATAAATATTTCAGATTTTCCATAGAATAAGGAAACCCTGATGAGGAATTAAATTCAGATCTTCATATCAAGAAACATGAGAAATGAATTAACATGAAGGTCCATATAAAGGTTGGTTTATAATTGAGAAAAAGATGTGGTCCTAAATGTTTAATAATTTAGAAACACAACTTAGAAAACCAGGTATAAAGATAAATGTTAACTTTATCGCTTTATATTTTCAGGATAAAACTTGTCTATACACTTGTATGTAGGAATAAATAGTAATTTATTTTATTATTGTTTTTTTTTTTAAAATAAGTTATTCTCTTGTTTTGAAGGGCGAAACCAGTCATTTAAATTAAGTCTAAAAAATATTTATTACTAATATCAAGAAGGACAATTGTGTAGGTTGACTCATTTGTTTGCATGTTATGAATTATTTCGAAATCAAAACCAAATTTATTAATTATACAACAATATAAATTGCATTTTTAATTATTTTTAAGATTGCAAAGAGAGAGAGAAAAAAAAGGTAAATAGTAATCAGTAAAAAAGTAAAAACTCAATTTTGGATAAAATAAGTAATTAAATTATAAAAACTACTGAGTTTCAATGTTTCATACAGTGATATCATGTGTAAAATGTAATCACCAGCCTGTTATAACTTAGGAATGGAAAAACTCTGATGCAATTTTTTTTTTTTTTTTTTTTTTTACAGTGATATCCATGTGGTAAAATGTAATCAACCTAGCCTGTTAATAACTTAGGAGAGTGGAAAAAACTCTGAATGCAATTTTTTTTTTTTTTTTTTTTTTGTTTTTTAATGTTCTGTTTAATAAATTGTTGAAGAAACGCAAAATTCCAAGCTATGAATAAAATCTGTTTTTTTTTTTTTTTTTTTTTTTATGTTCTGTTAATAAATTGTTGAAGAAACCGCAAAAATTCCAGCTATGAATAAAATCTGTATTGATCATTGTTTTGTTAATAGAATCAGAAATTCAAATGACTAGCAATGTAATTATAGTAAAATAAAAAAAATCAAAAAAAAAACCCAGAAATTAAGTAAATTAAAGGAAGAAATAGGATTAGAAGATCTTAATTATCGCAAACAAAGATCGTACAATGGAAAGCATAAATTACGATGCCGATGAAGCATATGAATTAAATTCAGAGACTGAATCTCAGATTTTTACTCTATAAAAGCTGCATCCTTCAATTAAATGTCATATATAAAAAAATTAATTAATTAAAATACAAGATAAGATTGGATACTTACCAGATAGAGAATAGACGACTGTGGGGAGAAGAGGAGGGGGCAGAGGCGGAGGCGGAGGCGGTGGAGGAGATAGGGTATTGAGCGGGAGCCTCCTCTCCCCACGGTGGTTTTACGTAAAGGAGTCTATAGCATATAAGAAGATGAGCAATCAAAAGGACAACTAATAACAATAGGGGAGAAATGCAATATATATACTTATACAAAGACAGGCTTGCATAATTAATTTTTTTTTTTTTAAATATTATTATTTTATATATATTCTTTGCATTTATGCGATCTTGTTTGTCTGTATTTTTTTTTTTTTTGAAATAATTTATTAACTGTTAGGTTTTATCAATAAGCCTATGTTTAGGCGGGGTTTAAGGGATAATTGGGGTTTAGGAATTATGATTGTTTGAGAGAGCTTATCTCATCCAAGTAAATTACTCACTTTAGCTTAATTAGCCAGCTGTTTTAGGGATGTTATTTAGGTAATTTTGATATTTGCCAAAATTAAAAAAACAATAATAAATAAATAAAATGAAAGATAAAGTACAAGTTAATTATTTACAACTATTATTAATTTCTAATTTTCTATTATGGAGAGATTAATTAGAGATTAAAAATTTTATACTTTAATGAATTATTTGAACTGAATTATTTACAACTATGATCCTAACAAATTGCTTTTGCTTGTGCAGCCTCCTTTGCCAGCCTAGCCTCGTGGTAAGAAATTACTCGAAACCCAATAGCTTAAATCTCGGCCCTCCATTTTTTTTTTTTTCAATTTAAAGTTGAAATTAAAATTAAAATTTTAGGTACTTGAATTATTAGGAATGATGAATGAAACTCATGCAAAATTCCTGTATAATTTTTGTTTTGAATATTTAAATAACAATGCAAATCAAACCAAATCAATCAATTCAACTGATTTTATCAATTTCTGCTCAATCCTTGGCATAACTAGGGGTGACCAAAATCCGATTTTCAGAACTAAAACCATTGGTTCCAAACCGGTGAGAACCGAAACCAGAACCGATCCAAAATGGTTCAATTCCGATTCTACAAGTTTTGGAACCGTGAACCGGCGGTTCCAGTTTCAGTCGAAATCGACGGTTCTAGTTTGATCTGAAACCGGCCGAAACAGTCCAAAAATTGGCCTAAAAAACTGGCTGGAACCATTGAGGAACCGGAACCGTGGCCACCCCTAGGCATAACACCCTTAATGTATGAGTCATGGCATGTACACATGTAACATATAACAATATGGACCGGAATAATTAGGGGTATAAATGAAGTGAGCGAAACTTAAATTTGTCAGGCTTGAAGCTCAGCTCGGTAGAATTTCACTTTCTTTGAAATTCAATGAGCCTAAAAATTTTAGGTTCAATATTGACTTAAGACTGAAGTTTAACTCGAAAAATTTTAAGCTCGAGTTCGGTTCAAGACTCGAGTAAATTTAAAATGATTATTATATATATGTATATATAAAAGTTCGATAAAACCACTCAACGACCTTTCAAATTGAACATCATTAGATTCAAATTCAAACTCTATTTGAGCCGAATTTTTTCAAGCCAAATTCGAACTCGCTTAGCTCGTTTACATCCCTAGGAATAATGTGTTTAAAATGAAACCTCAAATTCTACCCATATAGATATTGTTGAGCATCCGAAAATTTGGAGCTTTTGATAAAGTCAATTTATAAAAATTGAATAATATTATATGAGAAAATACAATTATTTGGTAACAACTGGTCAATATATATTAATAAAATACATGCTTTTCACATAATCGATAAATTTTTAAATCAAATATATGTATGGAAACATTATTTGGCACATGCTACACGCGCATATATATACATACATCAAGGTTGTGTGGAAAGCATGGCCAAAAAAGGTAGAACTAGGGGTGTGAAACATATTATTGATTTAGCTAAGAGAAATGATCATTAATTTATTTTATAAATCAAATAAATTAATTTGATTAAATTAATTTATTTTAAAAAATGGAGGGTAGATAATCAAATATATTATTTAATTAATTTTTATTAACTATGACTCTATTATAACTTCATTAATTTTTTTTATAGAATAAAACTATTTAATAAAAGATATCAACAGATATATTATTTAATTAATTTTTATTAAACTATGACTGCTATTTTATAACTTCATTAATTTTTTTTATAGAATAAAACTATGTGAATAAAAAATTTTACTATTTATTTTCATAACATTAATTATAAGGGGTGGAAATCTTATTTAGTTGTTAATTGTAAATCCAATTATTTAATAAAAGCATTTATTGTTTATTTTAAATATAAAAAATATTTAATTATCAGGACAAAGGATAAAATCCTCTGTCAATAATGAAATCTTATTAGTTTAATTGTAAATCCATTATTTAATAAACAACATTTAATTTTTATTTAAATATAAAAAATATTAATTATAATGACAAAATAAAATCTCTGTCATCACTTTCATATTTTAACACATAGCCACATAAGCATTTAAGCCTTAAAAATCATATATTTATATAGATAGAAAATTTAATAGTGAATCACATTCGGAAGATGAACTCTTATATATCTCAAGTTTACGAGGACTCTTCCCTACAATATATACTAGTTTGGTTTTTTTCTGAACTCCATTTAAAAAAAAAAAAAACAAATTTATTATTGACAATCAACTCATATATATTATACATATGAGTTTGTTGTATCTGTGCTTTGTTCTTGAATTTAACTTAAAGTGTCCAACAACTAACTAACATTGCTTCATTCAATTTTAAAGGGTTAGTTAACTATATGTACCTATTTAAAAAAATAGTTTTAAAAAAATAGTTTAGAAAAATTATACATATTATTTAGTCGATAAGATTGACCGTAATTAAAATAATAGTTACGGTTATTATTATTTTATTTTATAATACTTTTAATAACTTGTAAAGAGTTGTTTTTTTATTTTTTTTTAAGTTGCTCAATTGAAAAATACTAACTTAATTGCCAATATTTTGTTATATTTTCTCAAAATTCTAAAAATAGGTATTTTTGTAAAGTTGCCGAATTATAAAATAATAGTTTTGATTGTCAATATTTTTAATAATTAATAATTTGTAAAATAATAGTTGTTTATGTAAAATAGCCGGATTATATAAGAATAGCTTCAGTTGTAAATATTTTGTAAAAGATGGTTGTTTTTAATAAAAGTTGGTGTTTTCTAAAATTATATGTCTGATTATTAATATTTTGCAATATTTCCAAATATTTTGTAAAGAATATCTATATTTGTAAAAGTTAATGGTATACAAAACACAAAAAATATATTGCGCCAATTTGCACATGACACAATATTTATTGCGGTGGATTAAAATATTCAAAATGCCTTTGTGCGTATATTACGTGCACAATCCGTCGCATAAACCTATTGAAGGTATTTTAGACATTTTAACTAATTACAGTGACAGTGGTTTCACACATAACTTACATCATTTAGCAAATCAAATGGAGGTAGTTGAGTGGTAAAAGTCACTTGTAGGATTGATCAATATAGCTTAGGTCACGTGTTTAATCATTTTTTAAAAAAATGAAAAAAAAAATATAATATTTAGGAAAATGTAATTTTCCTTGTTTAGAAAAGTGGAAGAAAATATTGAAGTAAATAATATTTCACTTGTTTTCCACCAATGCCTAATAGAGGAAAATGTGAATTTTATTCAGTTTTATTAAATTACCGAAACACCATAGATTAATTAATAAACTTTGACCCTTTCTTAAATATCTCATTATTTAAATGAGGGCATAATTGTTAATTTTTAATAATAATATTTTCTTTCCTCAAAAATTTTGCTAGGAAAATAAATTTATTTTTCCACCTCATTGTATCTAAATACAAAGATGGAAAATAACTATAAAAAAAAGTTGACAATTCCTCGCTATTTCCCACTAATATTTCTCTTCCTCTAATATTTTTCTTCTTCTCCTAAGGGTCAGAGCTTTTTGATAAGCCAGTTTGTAAAATTAGATGTTGTGAATAATATTACAAGAAAAAAAATACAATTATTTAGTAACATCTGGTCATTGATAAAATACGTATATTCCACATGCTTGATATATTTCAATCAAGGTATAATACATAATTTTAGACATAAATTTTGTTAATCTTGTGGCGTATTTAATTTTTATTTTGATTTATCTAATACTTAAATTTATAAATTTACACTTATTATTTGCAAAATCATTTTATTGAAAATATTTCGATTTATAAAATTTTGATGAATTAAATACCTATTAAATAATAGAAAATGTGAATAATTGAAAATATTGAATAGTTGAAAATAATTAAACACCTGTTACCATAAGCGTTAAATATTGAATAATTGAAAACTAACATATTGACTCTGCTGAAAATCGAATCCAAAATATCTAATTCCGGAGACCAACACCTTATCCATTGGGCCACAGAGTCCATTTGACTTTTTTTATCCAAAACAATTAATAAATAGAACATCTAATTTGTAGACCAGCCCATTGTCCATTGGGCCACAGAACATGGCTGAGTAATGTTTTTAATAAAAAATAGTAATAATTATAATTAATAATTTAAATAGCCAATCACATTTACATATCTAATATAGGAAGATAAAACTATTTCTTACACGTTACTTTTGTTAGTTTGTCTTTTATCTTTTAAACTAACAAAGAGTGTTTTTTTTTTTTTTTTTTTTTTTTTTTTTACACGTTACTTTTGTTAGTTTTGTCCCTTTTTATCTTTTAAACTACACAAAGAATGTTTTTTTTTTTTTTTTTTGTGTTTTTTTTTTTTTATTTTTTTTTTTTTTTTTTTTTTTTTTTTTAAGTCAACCATAAAGTGATTTTTTGATACATGGATAACATTGTGCATCATACAACGGAGACTGTCATCGCCTTTAAATCGTTGGATTATAACTTATTCGAGTGGGGCCCGCAAAAAATGTCGGTGGTAGAAGTGAATATAAAAGTTAATAGCGTCCATAAAGATTTACATTACTATAGATGTACCTCCAATAATTACGTATTTGGCATTGACAATCGAATCCATCAGAAATAGTAATTATATTAAAAATTAAATAATTACCATAAATGCCAGATAAAAAAATAAGAACACCGAGATTTATGTGATTCACCTTTTAACTGTTATGGGCTACGT